AGGAGATCGAGACCATCCTGGCTAACACAGTCCCGTCTCTACTAAAAATACCAAATCAAAATTAGCCGGGCGTGGTGGCGGACGCCTGTAGTCCCAGCTACTTGGGAGGCTGAGGCAGGAGAATGGCATGAACCCAGGAGGCGGAGCTTGCAGTGAGCCGAGATCACGCCACTGCACTCCTGCCTGGGCGACAGAGCAAGACTCCATCTCAAAAAAAGAAAAAAAAGAAAAAGCTGAATGACTTGATGTGTACCTTACACTGAGGTCTGCAGCTGTGGCTACAGCCCTTTCCAGTGGACTGTTCTTGCAAGCAAACAACACAAACTTATAGCATCGATAAATACTGTACAGTACTATAAATGTATTTTCTCTTCCTTATGATTTTTTTCATAACTTTTTTCTCTAGCTTGCTTTGTTGTAAGACTATAGCATATAATACATATAACAAGCAAAACATGTGTTACTTGACTCTTTGAATTATCAGTAAGGCTTCCAGTCTACGGTAGGCTATTAGTTAAACACGGGGACAGTCAAAAGTTATACTCAAATTTTCAACTGTGCAGGGTCAGCACCCCAACTGCCACATTATTCAGGGGTTCAACTGTATGGTACCCCTGCTGGAAGAGTGGTTAAGGGCATTTTCTTGGAGTCAGAATGCTGGGGTTCCTGCCCTAGCTCTACCATGTCCTAACGGTGACTTCACATCTCTGTTTCATCATTTGTAAAATGAAAAGAAAAGTGGAATCCACCTGCTAGAGTTTCTGGGAGAAACAAATGAGAGACTGTGAGATAAATGAGAGGTAGACATGGAGGCCTTTGCTCACTCTTACCCCTGCAAGTAGGCAGTTTATGTTGGCTGTGATTGCTATTATTCTAATATTTCAGTCGCTGTTATCTTTATTATTAATATATTATTACTTCGAAAGTGGGGGAATGAAAAAAAAACCCTTCTGTTAGGGCAGTTGAGATATTTGATTGCACATAACCGGGCCGTGCTTCCTGTCACTCTTAGGCTAGAAGGCCCACTGGAGGGCAGGGAGCCCGGGGATTCCATCCCTTTTGTACGTGCGTCTTCAATGCCTGGACCCACTGATGTAATGCATCAGTACAACTAATTCCCGGGAGCAACGGTGAGAGGCTCAAAAAGGGAGGTCATTTCAGGCTGCAAAGTCTGAGAAAGACATCAGGCAAACAGAATTGCTATGACATCACCAGGGCAAAGGCAGGGAAGCAGGTATTATCACCAGTATTATCATGTTGTAATCCTCCCAGTTTCCTTGATGCTGCTGCAGAAATTGCTGGCACCTGATCCATCAGGAAACTCAGGGCCAGAGTAGGAAGGAGCGAGTCCTGGGTTACATATGGGACCTTGTCTTTACAAACCCCAGCTCCTTCAGTCAAACTAACTTGGACTTTAATCTGTCCCAGGGCCTAAGTAGGCTCATTTTGTAAGCATCTTAAACATTGCTAAGGGAACATCAGAGGCAACCTGAAGATTAAAGGGATTTTTGTTTGTTTGTTAATATCTTGAAGCAGCAAGCCAAAACCCCCAAACAACGGCCTCATCATTCACCCCCCTGCCTGTGACAGTGCAGAGATTGGCAGACAGAGCTCCTGGCTCCCTTCCAGGGAGTCAGTGCTGCCCTGGATGCCAAAGGCATGGGAGCATGACACTACGAGAGGAAGGAAGCAAAGAGTAACTTATTATTCTTTTTTTTTTTTTAGACAGAGTCTGGCTCTGCTACCCGGGCTGGAGTACAGCGGCGGATCTCAGCTCACTGCAACCTTCACCTCCCACGTTCAAGCAATTCTCCTGCCTCAGCCTCTTGAGTAGCTGAGATTACAGGCATGCGCCACCATGCCTGGCTAACTTTGGTACTTTTAGTAGAGACAGGGTTTTACCATGTTGGCCAGGCTGGTCTCAAACTCCTGACCTCAGGTGACCTGCCTGCCGCAGCCTCCCAAAGTGCTGGGATTACAGGCATGAGCCACCGTGCCCGGCCACAGCCAGATCTATCCTTAATGTGCCTTCTTTGAGGGACCTCACAGAAGATTAATGGAAATGAATACATCCTGCCCATCCTGCCGAAGCCAAAAGCAAGGTGTCGCAGGGGGAAAAGGACTGTTTCAGAGGCTGTGGGAAGCGGGTCTGTATCCTGGCCCTGCCCTGGGCTGGCTACGTAGCATTGGCCAAATCACGTCACCTTCTGAACCTCACATTGTTTACCTGGAAAACAGTGACGTAGTGGACATGTCCGTTCCCTCCTGCCATGTTCCCTGGGCACACACCTGCCCAGGGCTTTCTTTAGCCACAGGTGATGCTTGGCCCAACCACAGGGAAGGCTGAGAGTTTCTGGGAGTCAACTCCCCAGGGAGCAGCCTCCAACCAAATACAGGCAGGAGGTGGTACAGAAACGCCCCAGCTCTTTCGTTCCCTTTGCAGAACAACTCTGCAACAATGCCATGTAGTCACTCAGGGGCTGTCGCACAGGTGAGTCCCAGGTACCCACAGTGGCCATCTGCTCAGTAACATACCCTCCCCTTGGCTTGCTTGCTTTATCTGTCTCACTTTGTTACTTCCTAAGTAGTGATTTCTAAGATCACCTCCCAAACAAACTCCTTGCTCTTGAATCCCCTTCTTAGGGGCTACTTTCATGGGATCCCAGCCTTAACCAAAGGATAAAACAACCTGCCCAATACCAAGTGAGGACGTAGATGTGGATGCTCTGAGGCCCAGCACAAGATATGACACAGGACTTCCCAGCAAACGGCAATGTTCCTGTAAAGAGGCAACTGCATCCCCAACGAACTTAACATGTACCCACCCCCAGGCTGACCCCTTCTTCACCTCCTTCACACACCTTTGCTTAGCTCAGCATATCTCTGCAACTTCTATACAGATTCCCAGGCCATTAGTGGCCTGGGCTGTGGCCAGAGATAGGATTTATGAAAATTCAATAAGGTTTTATCCACCACGGAAGCTTTTAATAAGTCCAAGTGGTAGCCAAGACACTAAAAACAGTTGATTTACAGCCTCTTGACTAGAGCCAGCCTATGACTTTTCAGGTGGATTCACTTAGGCAGGAACATATTTCATGGGTGATTTTTGCTGGCTCTTCGGTGGCAGGTGAGGTGAATTGTGTCCGCCTCCAAAGCCAGCTTTCTGTAAGGGCTGATAAGGTGAATCTGCAAGGAGTAGACAGGGTCATGTAGAACCTTGGTAAGTGATGGGGGTGCCTCATTCCGGTTATGGGTCTGTAGTTTCACTTACAATCCATTCTCTATTCTAAGTGGCAATTGCTACATGAAGCAGCATCCTAACTCCAGCAGAAGGGGCCCTATTAAAGGAGAATTTCAGAAAGAAGAAGGCATAAACTATTGTGTTCTCTCACTGCACTCTTTGTTACAGTGTTCCTTCCAGTTACAAAAAGACTAAACAAAAATAGCCACAGAACACAGGTAAAATGAATGTAATGAAGTGGGCAATTTTAGCTGAGAATGTATTTTAAGGAAAACAGTTTAACCAAACTAGACATTCCCAAGGGCATTCCACATGCCTCCTTCCATGGTTTTCAGGCAGATCTAAGAAGACACAGAGCTACCTGGTCTTCTTGCCACCATGAAATGATCCCTCATTGTGAGTAAGTAGAAATAACAATGAGGAGGTGATTTCTGGTGTGGAAGCCAGGAGGCCTGCTTGAAAATGGGAGGACAGAGGAGAATTTCAGGGAAAGAGTGAGAGGCCCAAGAACTACTCTGGATATAAGAGAACCACAGAAGAAAAGGAAAGGGGAATTTTATTTCACCGGTAATATTTTGGGTACTAAATTGGATTTTCCTTCTCATTCTTTGAGAGTCATGCATGAAGAATGATATTACTCTTAATCACTCTTGGTCATGGCCTTCATTTATTGAATGCAAGATCAGACAGAAACTAGACCATGTATTACTCCAGTTTATATTCAAGTTGCATTTAATAAAGATAAAGTTGGATTGTGCCTTTGGGTTAAAATAATAGTAACAACAACGATAATACATGGATAGTTTAGGTATTCCATGGTTTAGCAATGGCATTTGAAAAGGATTGAGTATTTGAGCTTCTTTTAAACAATTGCAAGACAGGGCTTTTAAGGACAAAGTAAATGCACTTTTAAGGTGCATTAAGAGGGTATGATGTCTATCAAAGAAGGGACTAAACAGAAGAAAAGGCTTCAAGGTTGTAAACTGGTCTTATGTCCCAAAAACTGTCACTCAGTAAAGGAGGAAAGAAAATATGTGTTCTTTGTGGTACAAAAGGGAGAATTAAAAGCACTGGGTGGAAACTACCGGATACCATAATTTTATTCTCAATGAAAAAAAAAATTCTACTGAATTTCCATTATCTATGGAAATATATTTTTAAACTGCAGAGCCAGATGCACTGGCTTTGAAAGAAGCATGCCTTCTATTTCTAGAGGCATTCAGGTGGAGGCCAAAGATATTGACACCAATCCTCAACCTGAATGGGGACACACTTCATTGATTCTTAAGACCCTATAACTCAAAGTTTTAGCAATTCTTAAAGCTATCACCCCTAGTGAGTTTGTAAACTAACACATAATAGACTGATGTGAATTATTCATTAAAACTAGTGGTGGCTCACATCTGTAATCCCAGCACTTTAGGAGACCAAGGTGGGTGGATCACAAGGTCAGGAGTTCAGACCAGCCTGGCCAACATAGTGAAACTCCGTCTCTACTAAAAATACAAAAAATTAGCCGGGTGTGGTGGCAGGCACCTGTAATCTCAGCTACTCAGCAGGCTGAGGCAGGAGAATCACTTGAATCTGGGAGGCAGAGGTTGCAGTGAGCCAAGATCACACCACTGCACTCCAGTCTGGGTGACAGTATGAGACTCCACCTCAAAAAAAAAAAAAAAAAAGAGTGTTTCTGCAGGCAGGTCCAACAGGAAATGGCTGTATGTCCTGAAAGCAAGTAAGAGCAGGATAAATAAGGACTTACAGGAGGACCAGCAACCCCTACGCCTGGGTCACCACGGCTGCCAGGAGAACCAGGGATCCCAGGAGCTCCTCGATCCCCCTAGAAAGAGAGAAAAATAAGATCAAGAGGTCAGTGCCAGGAAGGAGAGGGCTAGGGTGCAAAATGAATCATGCTTCTTCTAGAATCCTGACTGCAGGCTTCTCCTGCCACCTGGCCTCCATGGGCCATGCTGTAGTCTACCCAAGCAGCCCATCATCCCACTCAGCCCAATATTCAGGGACCACAGCCACCAATTCAGACTATATACCTTTCAAGGATGACCATTCCTGGACCAACCTTCACCATGGTTCCAAATGTGATTATAACAATATGGCCCTCCCCATGTCAGCATTGTCCAAATCTACCATGCTTTCTTAAAACCACATCAAACCCTCATCCTAACTATACCCCAGACTTACACATGCACCCACATTTCAATTTAGATCCCAAATCACCCATAAATTAATTTATCAATTCACCAATAATTTACCAAGTACCTACATTTTCCACATCACCCTTCCGAATGTGGGAGTAAGGAGCCTAAAGGGGACCAAGATAAGACCTTTGCCTTCAAGCATAGTTAACAGTGTGGACCTGGGTGTCAGAGGCCTGGATTTAAGTTCTGGTTTCAACACCTATTAACTGTTAACTTAGGAAAGTGATGAGTTCCTATGTTTTAGTTTCCTCACCTACAAGGGGAACAGGACAGGAGCTGCCAGGTCTGCAGATGTTGTGCTCATTCAATGAGATTATGCAGAGAGAGTGCTTGGCACAGAGCCCAGCACAGCACTCAACATGAGCTAGGAGTTGTGTTTGCTTCTGTTCTCATTGTACTGCCATGCTGGACTTTGACGGAAAAGGAAAAAGGAGGAAGAAATTGAAAAAGGGAAGAAATTTTGTTTGCCATTTCCTGGAGAACAAAGCTGAGGCAGAGTCACACCTTATTCATAATTTCAAAATCCTCAGCCCTTAAAAACAAGTGTTTACCTAAACTCAGTTGGCAGCAAAACCTGACTTGTGCTGACACACACTATTTGCAGTCTTTGGTTATTCCATTTTGCGTGAACATTTACATATTTTCGTCGCCTAAGGATGAATGAGCTTGATTGGGGTGTTGCCCCAGATACTACCATAAATGTCATTATATGTATATTTTGCATATTACTACCTTTTCAAAAGTGAAATTAAATTTGGCCCAAAACACACATGGCCCCAACAGTTTTGTGTAGGAGGCTGTGATCCTGAGCTTATTCAGCCAGCTGAACCACAGTCAAGCCTGAGACCAAGATGGCAGGTGATCTTACTCAAGTCACTTAATATCTCTGGAATGAGTTAACTCGTATGACAAACAGAAACAGCCTCAGAAGCTTGTTATGAAGAGCCAATGAGATAATGTTGCAGTTCATTATGACAGAACTCGATATTGCTAGGTAGTATGTTGCTTTATTAAGGTTTGGGTATTGTGCATTATAAAATATCTCATTAATGGCTCTAAGATGATTTGCCTTTCCTATAGTACAACCGTTGCCTGGATGAGTACATAAGCTATATATTCACTCAACTAATGCTCATTCATTCACTGAAAACCATAATCTAGATAGCAAGCCCAGAAGATTACTCAGTCATAAGTCCTGCCCATTGTCAATACTCAGTGCTAAGTTTGGAAAAGAAGGGACGTTCATAGGGATATGAAGGAACAGACCTTGCAAAGTTCTCACAAAAGATACAAACCAGGATCTAAATTTCTCACTACGTCTCCTTGACATCATTTCTTCCTCTGGTCCCTCTGGGCCTCTGAGTCACAGTACGTGCTGTTTCTGAGTCCCTAGGAGTCAGCAACATCCCTTGCCTTGCCCTCATCTCTGCCAGGAGTTCCCTCAAATTTTCTGTATATTCTCAATTAGTGTAATCTGTTTCTTTAGAATAATATAATATGAATGGTTCTTGGGAGTTCAAGATACTTTGGATCTCTAGAAAATCTAACTCATTTCTATGGGGAGGTTGGGGAATAGAGGGAGTAAAAAAAATAAAACAAATATGGAAACAAGTGTCATGAACTAAGAATGACCATCATGACCCATGATTTATCTGTCACCAGCTCATCGTAGCAGTGGAGAGGGGCATGTAGGAAGGTTTCAAGCTGGTAGTGAGGTGATACTAGGTCCAGTCTCAGGGCCAAGTCAACCTCATCCTGTGACCTTGGGTAAGTCCCATAACCTCTCTGCATCATTGGGTCCTCATCAATTAAAAAAAAGTTCTACCAAATCCCCATGTATCTTATGAAGACATTTAAAAACAACTATATACGCTTGAGAAATACACTGTATATTATGGTTGAATTATTATCACTTATTTATTATTTCTTTATTTTTGAGACAGGATCTTGCTCTGTCACCCAGGCTGGAGTACAGTAGTGCAATCATGGCTCACTGCAGCTTCGACCTCTCAAGTTCAAGCAATCCTCCTGCCTCAGTCTCCCTCATAGCTGGAACTCCAGGTGTGAACAACCATACCTGCCTAATTTTTGAAATTTTTTGTAGGGACAGGGTCCCATTATGTTATCTAGGCTAGTCTCAAACTTCTGAGCTCAAACAATCCTCCCTCTATTATTACCTTATATGCAGAGGTAGAAGATAGAAAGTGAACTAAACACATATAAATGTCAGATAAATCTATATTCTTTTGCCCTTTGGTTTTGCTTTTACAATCTTAATGCAGATCTTCCTGTTGTTCTTATTTTCTGTTCTAGTTTGAAGCAGAAACTGTCCCTTTCCTGTCCCAAGGCCATGGTCCATGTACATCCGCAAACCCTGACCATTGCAAGCTAAGTCATGTCAACAACCTAGTTTGTATGCTTCCATGGTATTTGTTTGCTCTTCGGTTTCTTATACATGCTATTTCCCTTTGTCTGAGATCTTCTTCCATCCATGTTCTAAGCTTCCAAAGCCTACCATCAACTAAGACTCAATCCCATTGTTTTGTTGTTATAAAGCTGCCTCTGCCTGTCTTGCCCTTCTGTCTTTTTGCAAATGGTTGCATAGATCTTCATTGACCTTAACATGTTGCCCTCCCAGTGCACAGTTGTCTGACCCTCTGACTTTTCTGCAAGCAGCTTGAAAGTAGAAAATCTTCATTCATTTCTTCATCCAACAAATGTTTACCAAGCACCTAAAATAATTCAGCCCCTCTGTTAGGTACTGGATCTATGAATCTCTGTATCCACAGTGTCCAGATTAGGTCCAGATTAGGGTCTGAAACAGGTGGCAGCTAGTAACCATTTCTTGGATGCAGGAACAAAAGAATCCTGTATCAGTCACTCTGTGTCAGGCATTGGGTTCTGCCTTTGACCAAAATAAACTTTTTCAGAGGAAGGAACATGATAGAAAGGCCTCTCCCAGCCCGGTCTGGAAGCGTGGAGTCACTGACTGCTTTCCGCTACACTAGGTCTGGCTCCATTTGTATGTTTATGGTCCACTGTGATGCTAACAAATTCCCCAAAGAAATGACCTTACAATTTCATAAACTGAAACTTTCAGAAAATGGCCCAAGAAGAGCAAAAAGACCTTAACGTTCTGACAGGAAAAGCCAGAAGGCTAATGGTTAAGAAAGAACAGAGCGCATAAGCTAGAATCTGCAGCACAGTGTCCAAGGAAGAGATGTGGGAGGAAGGAAGTGTGGGGGTTGTAGACGGAGAATGACATTTATTGAGCAACATCTGTGTGTCATAAGATCATGGATCTCCTGAGGAGCCCTGTAGGGGTTAAACACTCTTTGTTCCTTCATACAGAAAGGAACTGGGCTCAGAGAGACAGAGCTGCTTGAGCCACCTGCCTTCAAGTCATCTGTCTTGTAGGTAGCTGAGCTGGCATTTTAACCCAGTTCTGCATGAAGCCAAAGCTTATTTATCCTGCTAGAAACAAGTGCCACTCAAGAGAAATACTGGCATCTTCAAGAGTCTTCCTGCAGTTACAAGGAATTAGGAGGGGCCAAGGGGCAGCCAAAGAAAACCTTCAAATAACTCTCTTTCTTGATTTCCTAAGGAAATTTCCTTAATTTCAATCAGCACATGGGACAGTACCAGCGCAAGCCTTGCGCCAGTCACCCTCTCTGGGATCTCTCTCTCCACCTCTCCCTAGCTTCCCCTACTTCTTACCTTCTTCTTCTGGCTGAGCAACCCATTCTACAACTAAAGATGATCTCAAATTCCAATTTGTCTTCCCAATGCCAATTGACTACGGAAAGCTTTCTAAGCCACATTCTGACTTACACATTTACACAATATCAACACTGGAATGGGTCATGTGTTTAGACATCTCACATTTTAAATAGGAAAAAACGGCCGAGCGCGGTGGCTCACACCTGTAATCCCAGCACTTTGGGAGGCCGAGACAGGCAGATCACGAGGTCAGGAGATCGAGACCATCCTGGCTAATACACATCTCTACTAACATAACATCTCTACTAAAAATACAAAAAAAAAAAAAAATTAGCTGGGCGTGGTGGTGGCGCCTGTAGTCCCAGCTACTGGGGAGGCTGAGGCAGGAGAATGGCGTGAACCCGGGAGGTGGAGCTTGCAGTGAGCCAAGATGGCGCCACTGCACTCCAGCCTGGGCGACAGAGCAAGACTCCGTCTCAAAAAAAAAAATTAAAATTAAAAATAAAAATAAAAACAAAAAATAAAAATAAATAGGAGGAAACATTTGGCCAAAGGGGCAGTATGACTTGCCCTGAGACTCACGGAGTTAAAACCAATTGGTCAACTAGACCCATGTCAGGAGTGTCTGCACTTCTCCCCCAGGGGGGTCTCAGCCTGCTTCTGCTCTTTCATGCTGCCTCCCCCACTTCCCCCAGGCTTCCTGGAACAACTGCGTGCCTGCAGAGATAGACCCCTGCCTTCTTGCTGCAACTCCACAGAGTGATCTAATAATAAGGATCCAAGCATAATCATAATAATGAATAATAAGGTCTAAAGCAGACCCCACAGGGGGATCCAATAATAAGGATCATGAATATTTACTGAGCACGCAACTGTGACCAGCACCATGCTAGGCAACTGTATGTATATATACTTGTATGACATCATTTATTTTTCCCCCAGACTCTGCCTATGAGTTAGGTAGTAATAGACTCTGAGCCTACCCATCAATGGACCACTAAGATCCCAAAGACACAGCTACAGAATAAACAGGATAAAGGGGAAAAAGGTCTCCTACTGTTAGATCAATGGTCATAAAGAAGGAGCATTTGAAGCCACTTTGCTCCTCCACCATCTCTGGTGCCCTCACCTTCCTGTCTTCCAAGAGGCTATCAATGCCCTCTAGATCCTAATGCCCTCTAGGCCCTGAGGGTCCCTGAGGTCCTCCTCCTCTAAGGGGAAAGAAGTGGAGTGCTTGAGCACTGCAGATCGGACTGGACTGTGTGTACCACATCACGAGGGAGCCTGCCACATATCTTCAGATTGGTGGTTAATGCACAAAATCCTCCAGAATCTAGGTCCTAATTCCTTAATCTGCCCCTCTCCATATATACCCACTGTTCCAGGCATGTGGAACTATTTTATATGCTCCCACAGTCAGGCAACGTTAGTCCCAATTTTATTCCTCAGAAAATGAGGAGTGGTTATGTGTTTACTCATAACACACAAAAACATTTTCCCTTTTGAAAAATATTTTGATTGTGAGTATCACTATTAGGAAAAAGCACATGGGTCCACATTGACCAAATTAGTGTAAGCTTGAGATGCTTACAGAGGGCACCTCACCTGCTTGAATAAGGGGAAACCATGAAGCAATGAAATGTAATATAGATAACAGTAATTATTCCTGGAGCCTCAAATTTTCATATCTTGCACGTTATTGTAAGCAAGCCTCTCACATACAATTTTAGAAGCAATACACTCTGTGTTTATGTTGTTGAGATCCCAAAGGTGCAAGCATAGAAAGAAAGAAATAAAAAGGGGGAAAAAAGGTCTCCTACTGTTTGGAGAATGGTTTCTGGGGCTAGAATAAAACTTTCAGTAATAGCAGCGTGTGTGCATTCCAGAAGTGTTGAATCTTTAAAGACTCAGGTGGAATGCATGGTAATAAGCTTTGGAGAAGTGCCAGCTGACTTAAGACGGTGGCTCAAGGGACGATGACAGAAGACACTGAAGGCATCTAGGAACTTTAAAAAATTGTTTTCATAGACATATGCAAGTGCAAAATAAGTAATATAATTTTACAATAACACTTTTATTAATACTTTGAATATGCACATCAAATGAAAGCCCAAAATGTACACATTCTCAAGTCAGTCATTGACCGTTTCACCCACATTTTTAAAAGTTGATGCATCTGAGTTAGTCAAATAATTTTCACTGGATATGGGCATACTTAGAGCTCATGGTCTTCTCTGAACACATTCTGCCTCAGGCCTCAGTGTCTTGCCCTGTTAATTCCCCTGCCAATGACTCCTCCTTCAACTTCTTCCCCTGCTAATGGCTAATGCACTTTATTTTATTTTTATTTATTTATTTATTTTTGAAATGGAGTCTCCCCTGTCGCCCATGTTGGAATGCAATGGCATGATCTCAGCTCACTGCAACCTCCATCTCCTGAGTTCAAATGATTCTCCTGCCTCAGCCTCCCAAGTAGCTGGGATTACAGCTGCATACCACCATGCCCAGCTAATTGGTTGTATCTTTAGTAGAGACAGGGTTTCACCATGTTGGCCAGGCTGGTCTTGAACTCCTAACCTTGTGATCCACCCACCTCAGCCTCCCGAAGTGCTGGGATTACAGGTGTAAGGCACCCCACCTGGCCCTACATGCACTTTAAAACCGGGACAAACATCTCCTCCTTCAAGAAGCCATGATAACGAAACCAAGCTGGGTTAGTGAGCCCCCTCGGAGCCCACACGTGCCCTGAGCTACCCTCTCTCCTAGCACTCGTCTACTTTTTGTCTGTTTACATATCTGTTTTCCCGGCTGAACTGTGAGCCACTGGAGGTCCTGAAACACAGGACATGCACTGCTGTCATCCCATAGCCCACCTTAAAATCTGACACATGTGGTAAGAAACTCAGTAGACATGCAGTGAATAAAGTAATGAATGCATTGGTAATTGATTGGTAATTGATGCGTAAATGAATGAATGATTCAATGTAGAAGGTATTTTAGGAAATTTCCCTGTCCACTCAGGAAATTTCTCATAAGAACACTTCCCCATGAAAAAAGTCATATTTTCTGAATTGTGGGTGCAACCGAATTGAGGAAGAGACTGGTTGGTATTTAGCAAGCATTTCTCTTTTCCTCCTGTGTGCCTCGGCAGGCAACATGCCCCAGTCTCCCCTGTGTGACTGTCATTGGGTGTTGGTAGAAATGAATTCGCAATCTCCAGGCCTGGCCCATAAAATCTTCCCACAGGGTTCCCCACTCTCTTTATTATTGTTGCACTCCAAGAATTCAGTAGAAGATTCTGAAACTTTAGAGGATGAAAGAGTCATGGGATTCGAATGTGACCACCGAATGGCTATGCGGGTCAGAACTTCCTGCAGCAAGACTCCCATAGACCTAGTGTCCATGAGATATGAACTTTTACTGTGTTAAGCCTCTGAAATTTTGGAATCATCTGGTACTACAATAAGACTCATAATTCAAGAACTGCTTAGACCTATTGCTCTGCCGATCGAAAGTCAGTGTCTCCTGCCACTTCAATTAATGGTAAGTATTTATTAAGTACTGATTATATGGCAACTACTTCAACATAACAGTTAAGAGTGATAGAACCAGCCAGGTGCACCGGTTCTATCCTCTCTCACACCTGTAATCCCAGCACTTTGGGAGTCCGAGGCAGGTATCATGAGGTCAGGAGTTCAAGAACAGCCTGGCCAATATAGTAAAACCCATCTTTACTAAAAATATACAAAACAAAATTAGCCGGGTATGGTAGTGCGTGACTGTAGTCCCAGCTACTCGGGAGGCTGAGACAGGAGAATCACTTGAACCCGGGAGGTGGAGGTTGCAGTGAGCTGAGATCACACCACTGCACTCAAGCTTGGGTAACAGAGTGAGACTTTGTAAAAAATTAAAAATTAAAAATTAAAAAATTAAAAAAAAAACAGTCCTAGAACCTTTAGTCAAATGGAATGCAATGAGCTGGGAAACATGGAAGTGGACTGAAGTGACCGGAGGTGTTTATAATTAATTTTTCCATGTTCTCTTTCTAAGGGCAACTCATGGCACCCACGGTTTTCTTGGACAAGCACTCACCTTGATTCCTAGGGGTCCAGGGAGTCCAGGTGACCCACGGAGTCCCTGGGGAAATAAATAATACAAGGACAATCATGGAGCTGAGGGTGAACACTGACTCATCCACCCCGTGCCAGGCTGACTGCATCCTCTGCTGGGGACCCAGAGATCGGTGAGACTCTCCCTAGGACCTGACTTGCACAAAAGAAACAGAATCCGGTTTTGAGCCCCAAGGCCCTGGATATGAATTCCGACTCTGCCTCCTACTGCCTCTGTGTGGCCTTCTGGAAATCTCTTAGCCTCTCTGTTTGCTTTCCCGTTGAAGAGCCTTATTGTATAGACTTGAAGCAAGTAAGGGGCAAGGCCTCGTTTCAAAGCAGGCTTTGAAACCTTCACTTCAGGCTGAAGGGCTTTGGCACTCACAGCCACAATGAAAACCACGATTCTAGGAAGTCTTGGCTGAAAGCACCAGAGTAGACCAGAAGTCCTTCTCTATGCATACACTTGTCCTGAGCTGTGGGGATGTGCTTACCTGACTGTCTCTCCATGAGATGGGAGCATCTCCAGGGTGCAGACTGTCTCATCCATCTCTGTGTCCCCAGCACTGGCCCAGGCTGGCATTTGGCCAGTGGTCCATGAGGATGTGCTGCCCTAGCCTGAACCACATTAGAGCAGACTGTTGGACCCACACACCACCCCTTTCCCCACCAGGCCCCTTTCATTGGCCACGGTTCAATTTCTGTGAAGTTTGGCAGTTAGATGTTTTTCCTTTTCCTTCTCTAATTTTCACCTGGTTTCTACAGGCACAGGGACTCCCGACCTTCCACTTACCGGCTCTCCATCCTTCCCTTTTCCGGGTGGCCCAGGGAGCCCAGGAACACCAGGATCTCCCCTGGGACCAACTGGCCCTGGGCTGCCTTCTTCCCCCGCTGAGCCCTGGAAAGAAAAGTAGACATTTCCCAGGGTCAATTACACTCAGCACGAAGCTTTTCCATGGGGAAGCAGCCTGAGTAGGTTTGTAGGTTTCCTGGGACTGCCCTTATGATTTTAGAAGGCCCATGCTTTCTGGGACACAGAAAGATGGACTGTGTAATGCATATTATAAGTTATATCGTGTCCCCCAAAATTCGTGTCTTGAAGTCCTAACACCTACTACTTCAATGCACAGATGTGATTAAAGTTAGGATGAGGTCATACTGGAGTGTGACCCTCCAATGGGCCTAATCCAATCTGAGTAGTGTCCTTTAAAGAAAGAGGCATTTGGTCACACATGCATAGAGGCGAGACAACACAAATACACAGGGACAAGACACCACCAAGGAGCCAAGGAGAGAGGTCTGGAACAGATGTTTCCTTCACAGCCCTCAGAAGGAGCCAGCCTGCCAACAGCTTGACTGAGGACTTCTTGCCTCCAAAACTGGGAGAAAGTACATTCTGGCTGTTTAGGCCACCCAGTTCATGATACTTTGTTACTGCGGCCTTAGTCAATCGATTCAATAAAAAGCATGGAAAATGAAAGGACGTTAATGAGGACCTCCCACCCAGTGCGGGCAAATCTACTTCCGGTGCATCTCTTACAGATTGGCCCTCATTTATGCTTGAACTCCTCTGGGAGCGGAGACCTCACTACTGCTCCACACTGGGCATTCCTTTGTTAGGCAGCTCTGTTACGTAACATTTCTTTACACTCAGCCTTCTCTGAAATCTTCCCAACACTGGACAGTCAGTCTGTTCCCTGAACCCTGCAGACACAATCCAATCCCTCTTACAGTTACGTTTTCAACTATAAGAACAGAGCTTAAAGCTACAACGGAGAGAGCAAGGGAGAGAGAGCATGAGAGTGCTAGCATGGGCACCGGGGTCTGTTCAGGGACTTGGGCTTTAAGCTTGCTCCAGGCCAGTGTTCATCTTCTCTGACCACAGAGCTCTGAGCAGTCCTTGTGGCGGCCCTGGCTGTGGAACACTAGGTTGAGCCCCGCGAACCAGATGGATTCCTTTCCCCAGACGGGGCTGCCCTGGGCGGAAGCTGCAATCGCAATGTTTCCAGACATTCTCAGATGGAGCAGGGGATAAGGTAAGATGAGACAAGGATGGGCAAAGCAAGGATGGAGAGGGCCTCTCTCCAAGCCTGGAGCAGGATCAGCTTCCCCTAGCCCGAGGACAGACCCTGCACATGGTGTGAGAGGGAAAAAGCATGCTGCGATGTCCGGGATTTTTACCACTTTGCAGAGCCCTGGAGGTTCCTTTCCAAGTTAAGTCCCAGGCCCGGCCCTCAGCCTGGGCTTCTGCTCAGCCAAGGGAAGGCATTTGGCTCCCTCTAGAGGCTCAATATGGCAATAGCCCACTGATTTCTGGTTTCTGAACAAGCACCTGTTAGTCCTCCTAAGATGCCTAACATCTTGGACGTCCCCTTCCAGATTACCAATGTCCTACTTACAATGTGCCATCCTTCAGACATGGTATAATTAAGGAATACCAGATGAATCCAGACGTTTTTCCTTTGCTTAATCTAGGCAGTCTGAAATGGTATTATTTTTTTCAAAAAATGAATGTTTGCACCTGGATTACATATTGATTGTTGTTGTTGTTGTTGTTGTTTGCACCTGGATTACATATTGATTGTTGTTGTTGTTGTTGTTGTTATTATTATTATTATTTGAGATGGAGTCTCACTCTGTCACCCAGACTGGAGTGCAGTGGTGTGATCTCAGCTCAAGGCGATTCTCGTGCCTCAGCTTCCCAAGTAGCTGGGATTACAGGCATGTGCCACCATACCCAACTAATTTTTATATTTTTAGTAGAGATGGGGTTTCACCATGTCGGCCAGGCTAGTCATGAACTCCTAACCTCAAGTGACCTGCCCACCTTGGCCTCTTAGTCCTGGGATTACAGGCGTGACCACCACACGTGGCCCATAGGGTTATTATTAAGCCTACGATCAACACTCCAAAAACTCAAGATATTTTTCATGGATGTGTTGATCATTTTTCTCTGCACTAAGCTCTTTTTTTCTGGGAGACATGTAGCTTAAAATTGAACCTTCCTGCCAAAAGGCAAATGACATCTCCTCTTGTTAAATTATGCAAAAACATAAAAACTGAAGTGATTCTTTAAGAAGTACCAAGTAGAGTGAACTTGAACTTGAAATAATTCATGTTAAGAAGTTTGGCCATGTGTGTGCTAGGAGGGACCTCTGTGGACAATCCATGCCCCAATATCGTCTCTTCCTGTCCATGGATATAAGCATGATCTGCTCACACAGGGAAGGCAGGATACAACCACATGTCACCTGTTATCTGCTGAGCCCTCTGCACACGCCTCCCCAACTCCTCAGCTAATCCTCACAACCTATGATCAATGTGACATCATCCTCAATTTACAGAAGAGAAAATGCAGGTGCAAAGAGGGTGCCCTTTATTTAGATCAGGGTTTCTCAACCTTGGCACTATTGACCTTCAGGGAGGATCGTTCTTATTAGGGAAATGTCTTATGCGCTGTGAGGTTTTTACCAGGATTTCTGGTCTCTACCCACTAATGCCAGGAGCAGTTACTCCCCTTAGTGGTGACAACAAAAAAATATCTCCCTGGGTAAAAATCCTCCGCTGAGAATCACCTTTGTCACCCTAGCTTATATCAATGTAACTAGGGCAAGGGAGCTGGCATTTGACTCAGGTCCAAAGCCCTGAATCATTCAAATGAGTGCGTCTGATTTCCTGAGCACTGGCTCAGTGTCACCAATTAACCTCAGAGTCATTTCCTAAGGTGCTACGTCACAGAAATGCAAAATGGAACTTAAAAGGGTATAGATTCTCCTCCTCAGCCTCTGGGTCTTTTTTTTGTTTTTGTTTTTTTAATTGGGGTGGGAACATGTGTCTCTCTTCTTAATAATTAAAATCTCAGGCTGGGTTCGACGGCTCACACCTGTCACCCTGGCACTTTGGGAGGCCAAGGCAGGTGGATCACTTGAGTCCAGGAGTTTGAGACCAGCCTGGGCAACATAGTGAAACCCTGTCTCTACAAAAAATTCAAAAACTAGCCAGGCGTGGTGGTGCACACCTGTAATCCCAGCTGCTCAGAAGACTGAGGCATGAGAATTGCTTGAACCCCAGAGGCAGAGGTTGTAGTGAGTGGAAATCACATCATTGCACTCCAGCCTCAGTGGCAGAGTGAGACCCTGTCTCAAGAAAAAAAAAAAAAAATCTCATAGCTTGGGAAGGTTTACATGTGTGAGCATAGATGTAGAATGGATAAGTTGGTGCACTGAGTTGAGAGAGAACAGGATTTGGAGTCAGACAGACCTAGCCCTGTAGCTCATTTGCTATGAGACACAGGGCAAACTAATTAACTTCTCAGAGCCTCAGTCTCCACATCTGTCGAATGGGCACTTGTCCGATTCTCAGGTCTGTTGTGAGAAATAAATGAGCCAATGGGATGGCACGGTCTTCCTCTCCCGCCTACTTGGTAAACCCCTTCTGACTGCAGCGTGAGCTGCTCCTTCAGTGCCTGTAACAAGTTGAGGATATTCGCTTGTGTGCTGAGAGATCGCATTAGTCTTACCTTCTCACCACGCTCCCCATCTTTCCCAGGGGGGCCTCTGAGGCCAGGAGCACCCTGTGGAAAGGAAGGTTATAGATGTGGTGAATTGAAAGATGACTGGTCACTCTTGGTGGCTCGTGATCCCCAGGGAAGAATCATCAGGTCCCCCTGAAGTTAATGACTACAGCTCCCACCCAATCCCATCCCTTATTTAAATTCCCCAAAGCTCCATCTCCTCCCTGCCCGTGATTGCTGCTCTCCCAGGGGGCCTGGCCTTATAACCGTACACATCAGAGCTCTTGACAGCAGGCATGGTCTGGTGGAAGCTTTGCCACCTGCTCTGGGCTGTGAACTCTCAGAAGGCACAGTCTGGCACAGTGAACACTCTGGGAGGATGAGGATGGCCTTAAGAACCCAGCCTTAGCATTGTGGCATCTGCTCCAACAGTGTCTTTGGAGTCCTCCAAAGGTTGACTTTGAGACATGGTTTAAGTGCAAGTGTCCCATGGATGCAACAGTAGGGAAACAGAAGTAGAAAGTGAGAACACCCATGCCTGTAATCCCAGCACTCTGGGAGGCCAAGGCGATGGATCACTTGAGGTCAGGATTTCAAGACCAGGATTTCACCAACATAGTGAAACCCCATCTCCACTAAAATACAAAAATTAGCTGGGCATGCTGGCATGCCCCTGTAACCCCAGCTACTTGGGAGGCTGAGGCAGGAGAATCACTCGAGCCTGGGAGGCGGAGGTTGTAGTGAGCCGAGATCATGCCACTGCACCCCAGCCTGGGCGACAAAGCAAAACTCCACCTCAAAAAATAAATAAATAAAAATAAAAATAAATACAGCAAGGGAGAACAGGCAGCAAGAAATACACTTGCTGGTCACTGGAGCTGTCCTGCTGTGACTCTGGGATCCTGCACAGGATATACCCTCAGAGTGACGACAGCTGAGGACAAGCGATCCGAGCTATTCTGCTGGTGCTGCTGCTGGCCACACATCACATGGCCTGATCACATGCGCTCTAGAGGCCAGAGAAGATTCCCAGCCAGAAGAATGCAGGCTGGGCTGCTGGAAGCTTCTATGTAAAAGAGTAACATTCCTCCAGCAGGGTTGCTGTGTGGATTAAATAACGAACACATGTAATACGCTTAGAAGGATGTCTGGCATGTATAAAAGCTCAGTCCTCTAAGCTACTATGCTTATTACCTATAAAGGTTTGATGAAGAAACAGGACTGACCTAAATCTATTGTGTGCGGGGGGAAATGTTGCCCTTGACTAGATGTCATGGAGTGTTTTGTTGAACAATGTTCAAGTCTAAATTGGTGTTTATGGTGAATCTTAAAGCTGGTCCTTTAGCGGACACCTTGGGCCTCGACATGGAAAAGGCAGAATCTCATCAGGCCAAAAAAGATGCAACCCTAAAGGTGAAGCAACCAAGCTATTGTCTCCGTTTTGCAGAAAAACTAGCAGAGACCTCAAGGAGTAGCTTGCCAAGATTGTCAAGTCAATTAATAGAAGAGCTAGGATTCGAATCCAGGTCTCCCAACAGCCGTCAAGGGACCTTTGACTTCTTTAGGTTCATTTTGTTTCTTCTGAAACAAACTAGGGTGTTGATTCCAACAACAGTGAAATGTGAAGACTTTCTGCAGATGCCAACAGCTGCATTTACCCTCTAGATAGCTGGCGAGTTGCCTAGGGCTCAGGTGTGTGAACTCTCTGGGTGGTCTATGTTAGGACAGCCGTGTCTCCATCTGGACAATGTGAGTAAGGATGCCTACACCTCTGGCTTTTGGGGAGGATACATTAACTAGCTTGGTGGCTGGGCAGTGCATATGCACAGCTAGCGCTGGTATCCACGCCCTCTCCCCATTACTCACCACACTTCCTGGAGGGCCACTGGGACCGGGGGGACCGACATGTCCAGGAGCACCCTGTTCAGAGACAGAAGTTTGGAAAGGCCAAACGCATTGGTTATAAGTAGTTGCTCCAACTCTCTCTGCAAACCTGTCTCATACTCAATTCACCGCGATGTGCTGGAACTGCTGCTGACCTGACAGCCCCTGCAGACGTGAACCTTCTCCCTAGAGGGCCGCGGTGTCCCAAGCACCAAGCCTCAGGTGAGTGGGCTTCTGGCACAGAGGTGAGAGGCAGGAGGGCAGGAGGACTCTGGAAGTTCCTTAGAGCTAAGGGACAGGGGTGTGGAGGAGCCTGGGGGTGGGCAGAGAGAAGGGCTGGGCCCTAACCACAAAAGAGGATCTCAGGTGAGGTTTGGCCTTATCCTAAGTGCCCGAGGTAAAGGAAACATTGAAAATGAAACAGTTCAGATCTCAGTGGCATATGTGTCTGTATGTGTGCGTGTGTGTGTGCGCATGTTCGTAGAGATGTGTGTGTGCGCATGTTCGTAGAGATGTGTGTGTGCGCATGCATGTGTGCATGTTTGTAGAGATATGCGTATGTGTGCACGTGTGTGTGTGCATGTTTGTGGAGGTGTGTGTGCTTGTGCGTGTGTGCATGTTTGTGGAGGTGTGTGTGTGCGTGTGGGTGTGTATGTGGAGGTGTGTGTGCACACGTGCGTGTGCATGTTTGTGGAGGTGTGTGTGGAAGCGCATGGGTATGTACACATTTGTGGAGATGTGTGCGTGCGTGCATGTGCGTGTGCATGGTTCTGAAGGTGTGTGTATGTGTGCGTGTGTGCGTGTGCGTGTTCGTGGAGGTGTATGTGTGTACACATGTGCATGTTTGTGGAGGTGTGTGTGTGCATGTGCATGTTTGTGGAGATGCGTGTATGTGTGCACATGGGTGTGTGCATCCTTGTGGAGGTGTGTGTGTGCATGTGCGTGTGTGCATGTTTGTGGAGGTGCATGTGCGTGCATGTTTGTGGAGGTGTGTATGTGTGCATGTGTGCATGTTTGTGGAGGTGTGTGTGTGTGCACATGCGCATGTGCATGTTCGTGGAGGTGTGTGTGGGCACGTGTGTGCATGTGCACGTCCGTGGAGGTGTGGGTGCATGTGTGCATGTTTGTGGAAGTATGTGTATGTGTGCGCCTGTGTGTGCATGTTTGTGGAGGTGTATGTGTGCGCATGGGTGTGTGCATGTTTGTGGAGGTGTATGTGTGCGCATGGGTGTGTGCATGTTTGTGGAGATGTGTGTGTGCATGTGCACATGCGCATGTTCCTGGAGGGGTGTGTGCGCGTGCATGTGTGCATGTTTGTGGAGTGTGTGCACATGCACATGTGCATGTTTGTGGAGATGTGTATGTGCACGTACGCATGTTCGTGGAGGTGTGTGTGTGCGTGTGTGCATGTTTGTGGAAGTGTATGTATGCGCGTGTGTGAATGTGGAGGTGTATGTGTGCATGCGCACGTGTGCATGTTCATGGAGGTGTGTGCATGTGTGCATGTTTGTGGAGGGGTTTGTGTGCATGCGCATGTGCATGTTCACGGAGGTTGTGTGTGTGCATGCATGTGTGCACGTTCATGGAGGTGTGTGTATGTGTGTGCATGGGTGTGTGCATGCTTGTGGAGGTGTGCGTGCATGTGCGTGTGTGCATGTTTGTGGAGGTGTGTGCGTGTGCACTGTGGAGGTGTGCGTGCATGTGCGTGTGTGCATGTTTGTGGAGGTGTGTGCGTGTGCACATGCATATGTTTGTGGAGGGGTGTGTGCGCATGCACATGTGCATGTTCATGGAGGTTGTGTGTGCATGCATGTGCGCACGTTCATGGAGGTGTGTGTATGTGTGCGCATGGGTGTGTGCATGTTTGTGGAGGTGTGTGTGCATGTGCGTGTGTGCATGTTTGTGGAGGTGTATGTGTGTGCGCGTGTGTATGTGGAGGGGTGTGTCTGTGCATGCGCATGTGCAAGTTCATGGAGGTTGTGTGTGTGTGCATGCATGTGTGCATGTTCGTGGAGGTGTGTGTGTGCATGGGTGTGTGCATGTTTGTGGAGGTGTATGTGTGCGCGTGTGTGCATGTTTGTGGAGGTGTGTGTGTGCATGTTTGTGGAGGGGTGTGTGTGCATGTTTGTGGAGTGTGTGCACATGCACGTGTGCATGTTTGTGGAGATGTGTATGTGCACGTACGCATGTTCATGGAGGTGTGTGCGTGCGTGCATGTTTGTGGAAGTGTATGTATGCGGGTGTGTGAATGTTTGTGGAGGTGTATGTGTGCATGTGCACGTGTGCATGTTCATGGAGGTGTGTGCATGTGTGCATGTTTGTGGAGGAGTTTGTGTGCATGCGCATGTGCATGTTCACGGAGGTTGTGTGTGTGCATGCATGTGTGCACGTTCATGGTGTGTGTATGTGTGTGCATGGGTGTGTGCATGCTTGTGGAGGTGTGCGTGCATGTGC